GTTCAGCAGTTTGAGGCGCAGCTCCAGCAGTACAGACAACAGATTGAAGAACTGGAAAACCATCTTGCCACCCAAGCGAACAATTCACATATCACCCCTCAAGGTAACATGCTTTCCGTGGTAATTTTTTTTTTAATAGCGCTATTTTTTCAGTTAGAGAGCTTAAGCTGTTATATAGTTGATATTCTAGATTGTTACTAGTAGCTGTCTTAAACTGCCATAAGACCGTTTCCTTAAAAGTCCTTGATTAGATCTTTATTTCCTATAAATATAAAATGCTTTGTTATGAATTGTTATGATGTGATGGGCAGATGTCCTAGGGCACCCCACCCACCCACCCCCGCCCCCCAGATTACTGATGGAGGAATCCTTCTCTCAGTCTGTTCTGCTGTCTTCTCTCATCCATGGAAGTATTGGTGTAGTTTATTCATCCTATACATTAACTGTACCAAAAATTGGACTCAAGTAATAGAAAAATAATATCAACTGTGTCATGTACATATTTGTGTGATAATATGATTTTCTTTTATAGATTTGTCAATGGCTATGCAGAAAATTTATCAAACATTTGTAGCTTTAGCTGCACAACTTCAGTCTATTCATGAAAATGTGAAGGTGAGTTCTCATTGCCTGTTCATCTATCTGGACATCTACACCCAAGTGAAGTATTTATTTGTTCATTCACAGGACAAAAGTATCCATGCTTATTACAGAAATAGCTAAAATTATATGTAAGTGAAAAAGACTAAAACTAAAATAATCCAAATCGTGCCCAGACACAACCATGGATAAGATCTTTAAAAAAAAAAAAAAAAAAAGATCCAAGTGTCCTATGCACTCTATTATTTTAACTGTTTTCATCATTGTGAACCACATTCCACGTTCATACACACACTTCACCATCTTTAGTAGTCAGGATTTCACTGCATGTGTGTATGTAGTTTGTGTAACCCGTTGTCTTCTGTTGGACATTGGGTTGTTTCCATCTCTTTTAGTTTATTTCTGTAGAAAGTAAACAGTCTTAGTAGCAAAATCATGTCTCACTGCTTTAATTTTATGTGTGTTTTAAATGTTTGTTGATCCCTGCATAAAAAAACTTGCTAACATTTGTCCCTTCTAAACACAGGAAACTGTATTTATTAAAATAATAAAAATGAAATAATTTGTCACTGAATATTTTGACCTTGTGTAATATGTTCAGTTTTAGAAATTTATTTGGGTGAAATGTTAATGTACATACACTTTTTCCAATCAAGCAAATATAATTAAACGTCTTTCTTGGAGTTATGTGTAGTCGGAGAAAACCTTTAAAATTCAAAGCATCCAAACCTGAGTCTAAATAAATTCTTAACTGTAATAGAATTTCATGGAGATTACCAGTATTTTCATTTTTATTTTAATTTGATGCATGGTAATAGAATTTTTTTTAAGTTAACCTCTTAAATCATACCATTTTTGAAGTGATAACATACTTCAGACCTTTTGCCTTAATAGATTTAAAATTTTAAACCAAATCTTTAAAATAATTTAGTTTTAAAGGAGGAATTTTTATTAAATTCTCTTGAAACTTTGTCTGTAATAAGTGTTTAGTTTTTTAAAGTCTAAAGGTGACTCTCTGTTGGCACTTGGAAGTCTGTGTTCTGCAGATGTTTTTTCCCATTAAGTTCTATTATGTAAGTTTTCAAATATACACAAAAGTAGAGCACTATTGTAATGAATGCTCAGGTGCCCACCACCCAACTTGGGTCATTATCAAGATCCTGCTGACGTTGTTTTATCAGTTCTCCACACATGCTTTCTTCCCCTGGAGTATTTTCTTTTAATTAATACTTTTTTTTTTTTTTCTTGCGGTACGCGGGCCTCTCCCGTCGCGGAGCACAGGCTCCGGACGCGCAGGCTCAGCGGCCATGGCTCACGGGCCCAGCCGCTCCGCGGCATGTGGGATCTTCCCGGATCGGGGCACGAACCCGCGTCCCCTGCATCGGCAGGTGGACTCTCAGCCGCTGCGCCACCAGGGAAGCCCCAATACGTTTTTATTTTATTAAAAATTTTTTTCATTGAAGTACGATTGATTTCCCTGGAGTATTTTAAAGGAGATCTGAGACATATTTGTAAATATAGATGTTTTTTCAATGGCAGTTTCTTCTCTCTGGTTTGCAAACTACCTTTTTCAGTAACAGGGCCATAATACAATGAGACAGAGATTTGCACAAAAAGCTCCAGTTCATGTTGGATAAACTTTACCTGAAATTTTGACCTACTCCTTTTTTTAATACACATCGCAAGAACCAAAGGATGTTCCGTGATCAGATTTGACATTTATTTTCAGCTGCGTTTAGTAAACTGTAATTTCTAGACTTGTTCACCTCTTATAAGAGGTTTTTTATTTTTTGTTCCTTTTGTGGTGTTATTAACAACACAGATAACCTGTTGAAACAGGCTTGAGCCACCTGATCAGCCAGGCCTCCACAACATTAACAAAATTAGGCGTAAATTTTATTAATTCTGTAGATCATGGCTGGTGTCAGTTTTTTGTGTTTTTTTTTTTTAAACTAAATGGTTTCTTTAAGTTTCTAAGGTAGGTCATTATTTCCCATTATCTGAAGTAGAACTAAAATTTATGGGCTATTGATGTCACATGCTGCATGGTATGTGCTTATAATTGCACAGAAAGAGGGAGGATACGTTTGGGGGAGATCTGTTCTCGTAAGCTGTGGTTTCTGATGTCACAGACCCACTTCTGAGTGTATTTCCCCAGTTTCCAGCTCTTGGCAGGCCCACTTGCACACGTTGCAGAGGTGGGAAAGCTTGGGACTGGAGCGTGATACACTGACGTCTACACGGAAGGAGGCGATAGCTTTCAAATGCTGGAAATACCTGTCACAACCCAAAGCCTCATACTTACTAATTTCCGCTAAGAACAGGTTGGAAATATGAAAATCTCATGCCTCTTCAAAAGTAATATAAAACTGATCTAAACTAAGCTAAACCCTTAAAGTATTTAATAATTCTAAGGTGAAGCAGAATCCTTCCTATTAATGGCCTTAATTAAGGCAGATGTTGTATTGGGTAATCCAGCCCACTTTATGAACTTGGTAATTTTTCTTTCTTACTCTGAAATTATAAACTCTCTCTTTTCTTTTCCCCCCAGTTTGGTTACATAAGCTCAACATAGTTATTCTCATTGTAAAGTAAACAGTGTTGATCAAGTAAGAGCCCTCTTTATACCCTCCAAACTCTCTCTGCTTAGGTGATGTCTTATTTTAGTATGTGTCACTCATGCCTCTTATTATTTATTTATATATATATATCGATAGAAAAGGTATTTAGCAAATATATATTTAGTGGGCCTTTTTTTTTTTTTTAAAGCTCTTTGAATCTAAAAGTTATCCAAAGTTTGGCCTTTGGAGGGGAAATTTTCATGAGAAACTGGAATATTTAAAATGGAATTTTAGAAATTACTTTGCTTGTCTAAAAGCTTAGCTAACTTATTTTAAAGGGGGCCTCCTGAAGCCAGAATATGTTAGGCAGTTGATCGTAAAGACATATGACTAAAATAGGGAAGACAGTATACAAAGGTGTGATAGAACTCTCCGATCCATCACTCAGATCCTTCTGATTTGAAGGTTAGATGAAGTGTGTAATGTTGGCAGTGTTTTTGATCTGTCTTTCCTAACTTATTTCATGGTTATATTCATCCTCATATTATCCAAGTCAACACAAAACTTGATTAACCTTTTCTTTTTTTCATTCCTGTAGGTGCTCAAAGAACAGTACCTTGGCTACAGGAAAATGTTCTTGGGAGATGCTGTGGATGTGTTTGAAGCCAGGCGAGCAGAAGCCAAGAAGTGGCAGAATGCGCCCAGAGTCACTACTGGACCCACCCCTTTCAGCAACATGCCAAACGCAGCAGCCGTTGCCATGGCTGCAACACTTACGCAGCAGCAACAGCCTGCTACAGGTCTGAATGCATTCAAGTTATAGCTTCTTACTGTTAAAATGCAGAGCATTTATGTGCATTTTTATGAGTCTTCCTTTTGTGTTAGCACTGAAGAAATTTCTATGAGTAGCTGTTCCAATACAGTCTAAAAATTGTGATGGACACAATTATAAACACACCTGATAAAAATGCAGGGTAGTCTTAGCAATAATTATACATCAGTTAGATACTGAATATTGTGAATTAGTGTTATTTGCTGTATTGCTATAAATGCCCTTTAGAACATGGTGTTCCACTACTGAATTACATTTAAGAGCAACAGATTCTAAAATTGTGACTGTATTGTATATTGTTTTAAAGTCAGAGGTAAACCAGCCATAGGTTGGCATTTTTCGTACCTGATGCTGGCGGGTGGTGTGCTCTCACATGCAGTGGTTACAGAATGCCCACACTCAGGATGAAGTATGTCTTTATCGTCTGAAATTGTGTTGAAGATCAATAGGTTTGTTTGATCAGAGAACAGGCCTTCTTAACCAAATTTGGAAGAAGGTACGTGCTAGAATTGTTAGTACCTTTTCAAAATGAACAGAACAGTGGCAAGAGCAGGAAAGAATGTTATGAGATGCTTCGGATTACACACGAAGAAGTATGGGCTGGGAGGTTGAGCAGATGAAAATAACTGGTGAGATACTGGAAAGAGATCATTTTAGTCCTTGCTTTAATTTCACTTCTTACGAGAGAAACATTTTTGTGGTCTAGTTCTGCAGTGTTTAGTTTGGTCTTGTGTCTTTCAGAGATGATTACTTATCTTTTTACTCCTGCAGTCCCTGGTTTGTCAGGCTTGAAGTGTGACATAGAAAAATATAGTCTTAATGGATACTGATTTTTTTTTTTTTTACTTCATAAGTTTTTGTGTAGTGCTTATTAGTTATTCTATAGCATGTGTGTTTCTGAGAGTTCCTTGTAGTCCAGTAGTAAATTATAGTACAAAAAAGTAAAAAATGTACATCTCTAGATTGCGTTCAGGCTGCCTCTACTAGGGAAGCATTCTCTGGGTTTCACTATTGGCAGTTTAAAAAGTTGTTCTTCACATTTGGAGATGACAGAATTGACTTACCATCAGTAAATGGTTGATGATGGATTTATGCCAAACCCTCCGCGCTCCATGGCTGGACCCATGTGAATAGTGGCTGACATAAGGACTGTGCAGTAGTTCTCTAGCTGGCTGGAGTACAGGGTTGCGTTCTCCAGTTACAGAGGGAAAGGAAGTCACTGTGGAGTTGGTTCCTATCAGGTCATTGTGGGATGGATAGATATCAAATCAACCCCATAATGACGGTCATCAGTTCTCATGATTATTTACCCAGCTCGTCCAACCGACTACAGCACCAGTTTACTTTTTAGGGTTAATATTAATCCCAAAATAGATCAGAGAAGCAGGATTTGGTTAGGTGTTCTTTAAACATAAGGGATTTCTATTCTAATCAATAAAACTGGAGAAAAGTCAGTTAACTGAACTGCTGTGCTGTAAGGGAATTTAATTATGTTCTGCGGTGTACAGCTAAAATTGAGGCAGAACTACCTGTCGGATTTTTGTTTTATACACCTTCTTACGTAGGCAGTTTTGAGAGGTTTGTAGGTTTTCACTCTCACATTTTGGGCTCATGGGCATCTGAAGAAATACGTTCATTCTATATGAGTGCCTCCTATGTGCTAGGCTCCAGGGATATAAAGGTGAACAATAGAGATAGAGTCTTTGCTCTCTGTGGTGGTGGAGAATATTAGCTGAGTTTAGAGTCATCATCTTGAAGAGACGTTGGCTCACGTGCTTTAATCTTTTGTGGACTTTCACCAGGCTTTGGGGAAGCTGACTCCCTTGTACATTCCCTGCAGTAGTGAAGCCCACATAAGGGCTTTCTAATCAGGTGGCAGGAATTGTAATTTATTAACTTAAACAGTCTTACAGTGTTTTCATTTTGAGTTGTATGGATTTTTGGAACTGAGAAGCCAAACAATAGCGATCATTTTGTATCGTCTTCTTGTTTCCCACTTGTTTCTCTAAAGGTCCTGCACGCTCCAAAGCCCATCCCTTTATGTCTCTCCCCTCAGGATTAGCTATTTTAGTCCTGTCACCACTAGAGTGAGACGCAGCAGCTCCGTTAGATGCATGCAGCCCGTTTAGAAATGCCCCTCTTTGTTGCATTGTGCTCTGTGCCCAGTGACTTATTCATTCTGTCCTGTGACTGATGAAATCTTTTTAAGTGCCAGTAATAAATTGTAAAGACCATCTAGGTGAATCTGGGTGAGGCTTGTGTGCTGTTTTTATACAGCCCTGTTGGTGTGTGCAAGGTTTGAGTTGTCAGGGGGGTTTTGCTTCTGTTTGCATATGGGTTCTTGACTTTTTAATGTAAAAAAGCAGATGGCTTCTTAGGCTGATACCTTCTGAAGGTGCTTTCTGTGTTGTCTTCCTTGGAGGTGGAAGTATGGACATAAGTGACTTCTTGAGCCGTCTTCAGTGTCTTTTAATGAAAAAAAAGAAAAAGATAGAACTTAGGCCTGTGTGATTTGTGGTTATTGCTTCTGAAGGCTGAAGAGAACTGATGAAAAACTCCGCAGGCTATTTATGTATGAGGTAAGCATCATACATGGATTACATGATGGTAGATCTGGAGTACACTTGTCCACCAGCTTCTGAAGCCTCTTAAAAAGCTTAAGACATTTACGTTAGGCTTTTCGGTATGATTTTAACTTAGGACAGATGGTTTTAAGCTAATGTACTGGGATTAAGTTTTGCTGTTGTGTCTTGACACTTTTAAGAGTCCTTGATGTTTACGTAAAAAGACTTTTCTCATATGACTTAGCTGCTGTTTTTAAGGAGAGCTGAGACATTTTGTTAGGAATTCCTACTTTCTAGCCTTTAGTGCATGTTTGGACGTTTGAGGTGTAGAGTTCAATAGGAAACTTCTTCGTTGTACTTTCTTGTGGTTTTTTATGATTTTGTTAATATATTTGGTAACCAAAGGACATTCCCCGTTAAATCAGTAAAATATTTGAAATTGGGGAAGACATTGCTTGTTTTTTAAGAAAAATTATTATTTTAAAAAATATGACTTAGGAATAACCATGCTAGTGACATTAGGTATTTTGAGTGATCATTGAAAATTATAAAAAAAACTTTAGCACTTTAGTCCTTTTCCTGTGAATGCAGTTTTACTTTTAAGAAAGTAGAATTTATTCTGGAAAATACGAGTTACAGTGCTAAACTTGATTTTGTTGTGTGTGAATATATTATTCAGTAACTTTTGTAAAATGCTACTACTCTACATGAAGATTTCACTTTGGGCAATCACTGGGATATGTTACTACTAACTTGGTTTTATTTATGGAACTAAGAGCCTCTCATTGAATGACTAATAATGACTATTCAGATTTTAAAACAGATTTCTTGAATTGTTTACGTAACATTTGCCTGAAGGATGTAGTTTCTGCTTTCTAATAGTGAAAATAATTTATATGGTGGCCAGAGTGTAACATATGCTGATACTTTGGCATGGGAGATATTTATCATGAGTTTTTACTATTAAAAATGTTATACATTTGCCTACTAGTTTTATAAATGATGTTGCCTTCAGAATTTGTGTGAAGGTACAAAACTCAAAATATCATGTACCCGTTGTGCAATGGAAAGTCTTGTCATCGTTAGAGTTCTTGATTACCTGGATCCTGAATATTAATGACTAGAGTTGCTCTGAAAAGCAGACCCGCGCACAACACGAAGCATGTTACCTGAGTAACTCTTAGGACTTGTAGGGCTGAGGGCTGTGGTGTGCATTATGCTCTAGGGTCTTCCACCAGCAGTGCCTCCTGTGAACATGTGACACTTAAGTCTCTCAATGTTAAAGAAACTGGACGTGTGTTTTCTACATATTACTCTCATTAGAAATAAGAGGGTAATATGCTTAGTTTCTTTTTCCTGTAGTAACATTTTACAAAAGAGCTGCTAGGCAGGTATTTTATTCTCAGACTGATCTCAAACTGGATGTAAAAATTTAAATCTTTTTTAATTTATTTTTTAATAGTGGTGTGTAAGAACTCTGGCTGCTGTTAGTCCTTATTCTTTATTTTCTGGGTAGAAGCTATTGGGAAAGTCCAGTTTCTGTCCCAGTGTAGCAAAATGTAGTTCCTTAGTTTCTTTTTTCTTTTCTTTCCTTTTTCTTTAATGTTTTATAATTTTACACTACCTTTTTGAATATACAAACCTCATTCTTCATTGAACAACTTGAAGGCTTTGATTTCTTTAAAAAGTCTAAAAATCTGTATATTACTTTGGCAGTTCCCTCAGCTTTGAGATGCACTGATCACTGTGCTTGAAAAAGACAAGACTGAAGACTGTACTATGAAATTTATCAAATAATTTTCATAAATTATTTATCAAATATGAGAGATTTATAGATTTTTGTATTCTGCTTAGTTTAAAAAAAGGTAGTTAAAAAAGGGAGGCTAGTAAGTTTGATGCTATTCTTGCCAAACAAACTCAGCCAAAATCTTTAAAGTAACAAATGGGAAAAGGATGACTAATCGTTCTGCATCTGAGTACATTTTCCAAGATGTTGGAAAGAAACTTCTGAATTGAAATCTTGAATGTATTGAATCTGTCAAGGTACACAGCGGTGCCTTTGTAAATGTTCATTCTCTATCTTATTTCATCAGGTGATAAGTGGTGTAATGTAGCAGAGCTTAACAGTAGAACTCAGTTATCACTCTTTGTGAACAAGTTGGAATTGTCATGTTACTGTGTAATTGATTTGCTTTAAGATGAACAATAAATTTAATAAAATAAAACACTGTCTTGTTTTTTATCTATTTATTTATATATCATTTATATTTCCTATAAGAAATCATGCCTAGTTTTTGGTACTTACTCTTATGAAGTAACATGATGGTTTTGCATGTTAGTGTCAGTCTCTTTTGATCAATTGAGACTTGACTCTAACAGTTAAGGAGCTTATTTTAAAAAGAAAAAAAGTAAAAACGTTTACTGAAT